TTTTTTTTTTTTTTTTTTTTTTTGGTTCCGCGTTCGGCCGAACGTCCGAACGCGTCGAGAGGGGTTCCCAAACGTTCGGGCGTTCGGGTTCGGGTTCGGGTGTTCGGCCCGTCCCGAACGCCGGCAACCCTGTATATATCATAGCTACGCCGGACCGGACTCCGGACCGAATCCGGACCCCGGACCCCGGACTTCCCGGCAACATCCGGACTTCCGGAAAACCGGAATATTCCGGAATATCTGGACCGGTCCGGAACCCCTGTCCGGATGCCTGTCCGGAACCCCTGTATTTCCGGGGAAAAAAAAAAAAAAAAAAACATTGTGGGGCGAATGCTTGATCTCAGGTCTGCATCTCAACAGTTCATGGGCGTGCAACAGAAGGCTGAATTATGTCGTTGGGCCGCATTGGCTATATCTCCGACCCCAGGTAATTCAGAAATATTTCATTCTGGTCATCTGATTGTATCTGGATTCGAACTTGGGTCTGTATTTCAACAGGTCGTGGGTGTGCAAAGCCGGCTAGGCCCTATGGAATGCCATTGGCTTTTTGCCAACGGTCACGTGAAAAGCCAGCGTGTGAAAAATAGGCAAACAAAAGAACTAAAAGAACCCGCCAAGTGGCGGGCAGAGGGAAACGTGGAACAGAAAGTCCCTCCCCCCCGTTGCAGGCCCTCTTCTGATGGGCGTTTTTTTCTTTGTTAAAATGGCATATTTGGTTTTGTTTTTTTTTCTGTTCTTCTTGTTTGTTGTTTGCTGGAATGTACAAAGCATGCAATCGTGGGCAGGTGCGCACGCGTTGAAAGGACAAGCCATGCCAATCTGCCAAAAACAAGGGGAAAAAAGTTAAAAAAACAACATAAAAACAAAAAAAAATTGGTCCCGTTGGACAGCGGCCATACAGCTCGGCTCCACTACTCACCATATGCACAAAAGACAGAAAATGTGGTGGTGTATTTTTCCATGTTGTAGCAGAAGATTCATTTTCATTTTGCGCTTGGTGAGTAGTGGACCCAGGCCCAAAGCCCCCAGAGTCATTGCAGGTGCCCTATCTGACAGGTGCTGTTTTTTTTTTTTTTTTCCGCTGTTTTTTTTTTGAAAGTAGGATCTTCTTTTTTCGTTTTTTTTTCAGACTTGCTTCGTTTTGGGGGGCAACGTGGGGGGGAATGTAGTCATGTACTAAGCAGCCTATCATGGGAAGATACGGGCGCTTCTGATAGTGCACAGTTCGTTTGCTTTTGCTTTGAAACGAGTGCAGGGCGGGAAAAGAAAACTTAGGGCCTCCGTCCAGCCCTGTCTGGACGCCACATCCAAATCTTAAAAAAACGCCTAGCATTTTTCCACAGCGGCCCAAAATGGATGAAAACGACCTGGGCCGCCTGAAAAAAAATTGGGCTACCCCCCATTTTCCCACCATCCGGACCAGGATCCGGAAACCTGGACCGGACGCCGGACACCGGTCAGTCCGGATCCCTGTCCGGCTGTCCGGATCATAGCTATATATATGTTTGTGACGATATATATAATATATATATAATATATATATTTAGGGTTCAGCCTCCTGATGAGTCGGTGAAACTCCGACGAAACAGTTTGTCACAGCCCCTCGTTTGTTGTCCTCTTCTCTCTCTCTGCCTAC